TGCGCATATGTGTACATATATATATATATATATATATATATATATATATATATACATATCCTCTCTTCACTCTTGAACTGTGAGCCATACTGCTGGAAAAAAGTCTGAGCCCTTGCGAGTCAAAATTGATCCATAAAACCTATCAGTAGTGGGCATCCCCATTTATGAAGCTGATGCTTAAGTGAAGCTGAGAGCGGAGACGATACACTCGAAAATCTGCAATGTTTTATAACTTCGAGTTTTTTGATGGAATATTGATTGTGTTTCAGATCAATTCAATACTCAATACGTCTTTGAAGCCGAAGAAACCGAAAAAAAAGCCTGATGGAGAAAAGAAAGAGAAGACATGTGCGGCTAAAAAGACTGATAAGAATGAGAGTGAGGCGCGAAAAGAAGATGAAAAAGCAGATGATCCTGCGATTCGAAAATGCGAGGAGGACTTGAAACTGAATGAAGTTTGAGAAGTGGGCCCGGTTGGTGCGAGTTTGCCGAGGCGGGTTTCATCCATGCTTTGTTTAACCAGTTGACATCACTGCGCCACTTTTTTTGTTGTACGACTGTGCGTTTTTTATTTTGCGACATAGGTCGGTGACATTATCAGTTCATTTATCCATCTCTCGATCTCATTTTGTGAACAAACTAGGTGAGGGAGGTAACTCTCTGAATGAAGTAAGTGAGGATGGGTGGTTGTTCATGTTAGTCGACCCACCGGGTTTATTCGTATTTCCCACTTGTCATAATTTCCAATAGTTGCATTTGCCAAACCTGTGCATTGTATGACAAAAATTTCGTCAATTAGTGCTTCTCCGTCAAAGCAGCTTGATACAAATCAAGCGGGGCAATTAAATTTGGGCAAGTGAGTACGAGTTTAACTTCTCTACCATCAGAATAGGCGATTAAAAACAGCTTTACTATTTGTGTAAAGGCCATAGAAATAATTCACACCTTTTATGACGCCTTCATGAAATTCAAAAGAACTACTTTGGATTAGCCCGCATTACGAGAAACCGTACGCGTTGTTGGTGAACGCGGTGCAGTAATAGTTAACTCTGTCTTGCACTGCGTCACTGGGACA